CTGGACCCTAGGAAGGGGACAGCCAGGATCAGAGAGGAGGACCCAGAGCCCAGGGTGGGCGGGTGCGAGCTGAAGCAGGACGGTATGTGGAGAACTGTCGTGGGCAGCAGGCTGCTCTTTGGGGTGGGGAGCACGAGGAGTAAGAATCAGATTCAAGTCAGACAGACCTGCATTGGAATTCTTGCTCTACCACTTAACCACATGCTTTTGGGCAACATCCCTATTCATTTGACAAACGTATACTGAGTTACTCCGGTTTGAATCCAGGTTCTGCATTTGCTAGCTGGGAGTCCTTGGACAAGTTTTTTTTTTCCTTCTGTGCCTCAGTTTTCTTACCTGGAGAAAGGGGATGATGGTGAGGATAGCACCATCCTCAGGGTTGTTATGAGGACTAAATGAGAACCAAAATGAATTAATACATGTTAAGTTCTTGGTGGACAGTAGTTAAGAGCTCGGCAGTTAACCAAAAGGCTGGCAGTTCAAATCCACCAACCACTCCTTAGAAACCTTATGGGGCAGTCCTGCTGGAGCCCTGGTGGCACAGTGTTTAAGAGCTCGGCTGCTAACCCAAAGGTTGGCAGTTCAAATCCACCAGCCCCTCCTTGGAAACCCTATGGGGCAGTTCTACTCTGTCCTATAGGGTCCCTATGAGTCAGAATCAACTTGAAGGCAATGGGTTTGGGTTTTTTTTGGTAAGCTCTTGGAAGACTACCTGGCACTTAGCAAGCACTAGATGAGGGATAGGCATTGATGGTTCTGTCATAGAATTCTCCCCTTCCATGCGGAAGACCCTGGCCAGTGTATCTCATGCACAGCAAGCACCCATCTGTCAGTGGTGGCCTGGGTGTTGCTGTGATGATGAACAAGTTTCAGCAAAGCTTCCAGTCTAAGACAGACTAGGAAGAAAGGGCTGGTGATCTGCTTCTGAAAATCAACCAATGAAAACCCCATGAATCACAGCTGTCCAGTCCACAACCAATCATGGGGATGGCATGAGATCAGGCAGTGTTTCTTTCCATTGTGCATGGGTCACCATGAGTTGGGGGTGACTCCATGGCAGTTAACAACAACATGGTATCCCCTATGGTAGTCATTCTTGCCATATTCAAAATGAAGGCAACATTCAGCAAGCTTTGCCATCTAGTGGGGAAAGCTGACTTTGAACAAGAATGACGAGAATGACTTTGATAAGAATGATGAGAGTGTTCAAGAATGACTTTGAACAAGAGATGATCATTGTAAAGGAGAAGTGCAGGAATTGAGAGTGCTGGGTGGCTAAAGCATCAAGAGCAAGGGAGAGACAGACAGGAAATGAGACTGATGTGGTGGTAATAATAGTGGCCAACGTTTATTGAGCACTTGCTCTGTGCCAACCACCAACCTGTGTGCTGTATGTATATTATCTCATGTACTCCTCACTCTCACCCTAAGAGGTAGGTTCTGCTTCATCCCCCCACTTTACAGATGAGCACACTGAGGTCCAAGAGAGGCCAAGAAATCTGACCAAGCTCACATAAGAAATCCCTGGCAGTCTGACTCAAGAATTCGCTGGGTAGGGTTTAGACTATGCAGGTGAGGATTCTGAATTTATTCAAAGAGCAGTGAGCAGCCATTGCAGGTTATTAGAGCAAAGTACTAATATGATCTCTAAGCTATACAGGGTCGCTATGAGTCAGAATCGACTCAATGGCGACGGGTTAATTTATAAAGAAGAATAAATTCTCCCTCACAGGGCTGTTGTAAGGAGTACCTTGGTTCGTAGATGGAAAGCCGCTGGACAAGCACCTGGAGGAAGAGAAGAACTCAAAGAATAAATTATTTTTTAGAGGCAGTGGGCTCAGGCTGGAACAGAAGATTTTACACATGAGTATCTACTGCCATCCCATGGCCACTCTGTTATATTACACTATGGATTCCTTTAGCTAAATTCGGGAGCCAGGGGCTGGTCTCCCTGGTGAGAAATGGCTGCACTTGGGCTGAGACATGTGGTTAAGGGCTGGTGTCCTGGGGTTGAGACTCTTTGTAAGCAGAGGTGCAGAACCCTGAAATGGATTAACTGATTCAGATATTCAGCGCTAGCTTTGGTGACACAAACTCGAAAGAGACAACGTCCCTGCCCTAGAGGACCTCATAGTCTGGTGGAGAGACAGCATGGGAGATGTTACTGTCATGGGTCCTGGGTCCAAATCTCAGTCCTGCCACTTCCTGGTGACATCACCTCATCTAACCTCCTCATTTCCTGGCATTTCTCTGTCCCCCTCTTCTCATTTCCTCATATATAAAATGGGGACAGAATAGAGCCCGCCTTATGGGATAGTTGTGAAGACCAAAGGTGGTAACACAGAAAGCACTAAGGATGGTGCCTGGCACCTTGTCAGCCCTCAGTCTGTGATCCAGAGGCAGGCTGCCTGCCCACTCTTAACCTCAACAAAGATTTACTGAGCAGCCAGGTACAATGGAAAAGAAGACCCAGCTTTATTGCTGTCACTAAACTTACTATGTGACCTTGGGCAAGTCACTTCCCCTCTCTGAGCCTGCTTCACCATCCGTACAATGTGGAGTCTGGACGAAATCACTCAGGTCCCTTCCAGCTCAAATAGGAATTTATAAAGACCTTTATCCAAACTGAAAGAAGTCCTGGTGGCACAGTGGTTAAACGTTCAACTGCTAAGCGAAAGGTCGGCCGTTCAAACTCACCAGCAGCTCTGTGGGAGAAAGATGTGGCAGTCTGCTTTCGTAAAGATTAGAGCTTTGGAAATCCTATGGGGCAGTTCTACTCTGTCCTATAGGGTCACTATGAATCAGAATCGACTCAACAGCAATGGTTTTTTAATTTTTTTAATCTAAACTGGCCCTGGATTTTTGGCCATGGGGCATACGGAAGAAGATCCAGAAAGCTTGGAATCCAAGTCCCAGTTCTGCCTCCACCCATTCACATACTGACCCTGAACATTAGCAAAATGGAGATAATTCAAGTCCTGTCCAACCACGGGTGGCTGAGGAATTGTGAGGCTCTAACAACAACAATAAATGAGATAATACCGTGGAAACTGGTGTAATCCATGAACTGCTGAGGAGCCTTGCTACTTAAAGTGTGGTCCCTGGACCAGCACTGGCATCACCTAAGAGCTTGTTAGAGGTATAGGTTCTTAAATCCCACCCCGATCCACTGACTCATGGGAGATTCCTATGCACATTTAAGTTTAAGAGTACTGATCTGGGGCGGTGGTTCTCAACCTCGGCAGCACAGTAGAATCACCCAAAGAGCCTTAAAAATCATGACACCTAGGCCATATCCCAGCCCAATTATATCAGAATCTAGGGAAGGGGGACCCAGACACCAGTGGTTTTTAAAAGCTCCCCAGGTAATTCCAATGGACAATCTTATCGAGGACCAGCTAAAATCAATGGATAATGACCTTCTAGAATGTTCACTGAGAAGTATTTGATGTTGGCCACAGGAGCGGAGTCATAACAAGAAGCCCACATTTACGGAGCCCTTACAAGGTACAGTGTCCTGGGCTACATGCTTTGCAAGCATATGGAATTTAACCCTCACACTAACTGAGGTAGTATTAGTATCCCCACTTTAAGGTGAGGGAACAAAGAGGCTGTGACTCACCTGAGGTCACATAGGCAGTGACAGAACTAGGATTTGAACCTGGGTTACCTGAATATTTGGAGCCCTGGTCACGCAGTGGTTAAAAGCTTGACTGCTAACCAAAAGATCAGCAGTTTGAATCCACCAGCTGCTCCTTGGAAACCCTATGGGGCAGTTCTACTCTATCCTACAGGGTTGCTCTGAGTCGGAATCGACTCGATGGCAATGGCAATGGCAACGGGTACCTGAATGTTCGATTAATAGGCTAACCTCTCATGGTGCCCACCGTGTGCAGAGTAGAACTGTGCTTCATAGGGCTTTCAAGGCTGTGACCTTTCAGAAGCAGATTGCTAGGCCTTTCTTCCGAGGTGCCTCTGGGTGAGTTTGAATCATCAACTCATTGAGCACTTAAACCTTTGTGCCACCCAGGGACTGTCTCTCTCCATATATATGTATACTCAATGGCAACTGGTTTGATTGGGCTAACCCCAGTGGTCTTCAGACTGTGCTCCTTGGAGCCTGGAGTTCCTCAGAGGTGCCTGAGGAGCTGGTGTGGGGGATGAACGGTGTCTGGGAGGGCCTGTGGATTAGTGGGAGGCTGGATCCTCGCAGCCCCCTGCATCCACCTTACAAATTGGGTTTGAAAGAGACTCCTTTTGAAGAGAGAGTTCCTTTGCCCACTGGCCTGGAGCATCTCTGGTCACATGGTGTTGTTCCCTGCCCCCTGACAGATGTGTGCCCTCCTGCCCGGTAACTAATCCCCATGGCAGAGGGCGCTGGGAGGGATTAGTGCTGGGAAATTCAGAGCTGCATCTGCCGACCCCGGTGGAGCCTGGGCGAAGGCTGCGCCTCAGAGCCCGGGAGGCCATCCCTGCTCCTGGCACACAGGGGCCTCCCGGAGGCACCCACCTGCCATGGTGAGGCCTGAACTACCCTGTCCTCTTGAGACTTCCAGAAGAAAGTAAGTCGGGGCTAAGAGCCTAGGGGTTGTTTCTGAGGGGCCCCCAGAGCAGGCTAGAAGCGGGAGGAGGAACTAGAACTAGAGGCAGTGGGTACGGTGACCAACCAACTGTTCTGAGACCGAGGAGTTTCTGTGGGCAAGAGACTTTCACTGCTCCAACAGAGACAGTCCCTGACAGATCTGGACGACTGGTCACGCTAGCAGGGATTTCTGAGCCTTTGAAATGGAGCCACGGAAAGGGGAGAGGCTGCTCTGCGCCTCTCTCATCCTCATCTACCCTCCTTGTGTCCTGACATTTCTCTGTTCCCCTCTTGTCTTTCCAGCTCCCCAAGACCTCTCTTTACCTTCACTTCTCTGGCTCAGTCTCCTGTGCACCAGGGCTGCTGGGGTGTAGACCTGACTCCTCAAGGAACTGGAATCTTCCATGCCTTGGAGAGGATGAAGACCCAGGTGAGGCACAGCCCCGAAGCAGGCTTCAAATACTGGCCTAAATCAGCTCACATCACCTTCATCATCGCCATCACTAACATTTCTAGAGCTTGTATTATAGGCCAGAAAAACAGTTTTAAATGTATTAAAAAACAAAAGCAAAAACAAAACAGTTGCCATGGAGTCAACTCCAATTCGTGGTGACCCCACGTGTATAAAAGTAGACCATGCTCCACAGGGTTTTTAATGGCTGTTTTTTCGGAAGTAGATCACCAGACCTTCTTCTGAGGCAGCTGTGGGTGGACTTAAACCTCCGACCTTTTGGTTAACTGCTGAGCATGTTAACCATTTGCACCTCTGCTCAATGACTTCTCAGAACAAACCAGAGACAACTCTCCTTCCTTTGTACACCTCTAGGCTATTGTTCCTGTCATTGCCTCTGCCTGGAGTACCCCACTCATCCCCAGAGACCTGTCCTGTGAAGCTTTCCTCCCCTCCCAGCCCCCCAGCCTGAGCTCATCCATCCCTCTTTGGTGCCCTGGTTACATGTCTGTGGCTCCGAGAAATGATCAGAACAACACTAGCTACGAACGAGTGAACGCTTTCTAGGGGTTTGCGTGCATTATCTCACCCTCGCCTAAACTCTATGAGGTGCAGGGGTGATTTTCATCCACATTTTACAGATAAGGAAATTGAGGCTCAAAGAGGTGAAGTCATTTGTCCAAAGCTAAAAAAGCAGAGCTGTAGTCAAGTCTTGCTTCTCCCGGCCCCAGAGCCTCATGTCAGACACTCCACCATCCTGCTGGTTCCTGGGGAGACCGGAAAAGGTTCTGTACTCTTAGGGCATATTGCTGTGCCCAGCACACAGCAGGCCCTTGGGGATCATTTGCTGAGTGGATGACTGGGAAGGAGGGGCTGTCCTAGAGTGGAAGGTGAGAAAGGCAAAAGGAGGTGCAGGTCATGAGGCTGCAGACCACCTTGGCAAAGGGCTGGCGGGGGGACGGAGGGGAGGCATAAGAGGGGGTCATGCTACGGGTGGGGTTTGGGAGAGCCTGGCCCTTCCTGAGGGCTCCCTTTGCCAGCATTTTCTAGCTGGGCAGGGAGAAGGGAGAGATAGCCAATGACCATCACAAGTCAAAATGGGAGCAGCTGGTGAGCAGCTTACAGTTCAATACAGTCCCCGCCTTCAGGTTTATTGGAATAAATCCTGCGATTGGAGACAGACATGAGGTGAGGCGGGGCCCCAGAGGAGAGCTACAAATTGGGGGTGCAGAGACCTTAGCCCACGTTGAGATGGAGTGGGTGGGATGTAGAGCCTAGAGCTCAGTTCCCAGGTCTGGCACTCCATATCTATGATCTCAGCAAGTCGTTGGATGTTTCTGAATTTCATTGTTAGCCTGAAAATGAGATGACAAGACTCTGATCATGCCGTGTTGTTAGCTGCTGTCGAGTTGGCCCCGACTCATGGCGACCCTGTGCATCATGGGAAGAAATGCTGCCTGGTTCTGGGCCATCCCTGGGATTGGTGGTGGATGGGACAATATTCTGTTGTGATCCGTAGGGTTTTCATTGGCTGAGTTTTGGAAGGAAATCACCAGGCTTTTCTTCCTAGTCCATCTTAGTCTGGAAGCTCCACTGAAACCTGTCCAGCATCAAAGCAACACACAAGCCTCCACTGACAGCTGCATAGTGACTGTGCATGAGGTGCATTGGCCAGGAACCAAACCTGGGTCTCCAGCACAGGAGGCGAGAATTCTACCATTGAACCACCAGTGCCTCACTGGTCATGCCATGGCTGCCTGCTAAGGGAGATTAGGCTGCCTTCTCACCAGGGTGCCCTCGCTGGCCCTGCCCCAGCAGCCCTTTGCTCATGCTCAGAGGGGAGCATTTTCCGACCTCCCTCGCATGCATACCTGTGACAATGCCAGTGTCCACCATTCACTTCTTTGCGGAAGAGGCACCACCTTGTGTTCTGGTTGTCACTCCTCTGACCTCCAGGTGGAGACATCCAATTGCTCCTGGGATCTTTAATGGTTTCATTTTTTAAAAATTGAAGTGTATTTACATGCAATAAAAATCGGTCTTATTGGTGTATAGTTCTATGAGTCCTGACAAATGAATACAGTCCTGTAACCACCACCACAACAAAATACAGAACAGTTCTATCACCCGCCAAAATTCCTTCCTGCCTTTCTGTAGTCTTCCCTTCCCCGCACCCTCAGGCAACCACTGAGTTGTTTTCTGTCCCTATAATTTGCCTTTTCCAGGAAGTCGTATAAACGGAATCATATAGTCTGTAGCCTTTTGCATCTGGCTTCTTAGCATAATTAATTTGATATCCATCTACATCCTTGCATGAATTAGTTGATTCCTTTATATTGCTGTGTAGTACTCCATTATATGGTTGTTGTATAGTTTGTTTATCCATTTGCTGGCTGAGGGACATTTATGTTGTTTCCAGTCTTTGGAAATTATGAATCAAGAATGACTTTAGTGTGAACCCCAAATTCTACAGCTGAGGGTGCTTTTGAAATCAAGAGAGATTTCCAGATGTAGAAGTAAACTCTTCACAAAATAGCTCAACCCTCTCCTTTAACAGTTGAAGAAATGGAGACCCAGTGAGGGGACGGGATTTGTCCATAATTACAATTGACTCAGGAGGTGGCTGAGATTTGAACCCAAGTCTTTTAACTCACAGGATTATGTAACATTCAAAACACATTTACTGAGAACCTACCAGTGCCAGGCAGCGTGCCAGATGTTGTCGATAGAAAAGCAAAGAGGGCACAATCCTGGTGCTGCAGGCATCCTCACCTGGGAGAGAGCCAGACAAAAAAGCCAGTGGTAACCAGTGCAGGTTACTATTACTATGCAGGAATGGGGTACGCCTAAAGCGAAGAGGTGGAGTCCCTGGACGGTGCAAACAGTTACCACGCTAACCGAAACATGCAAGGCTGCTAACAGAAAGGTCAGAAGTTCAAGTCCACCCAGGAGCGCCTTAGAAGAAAGCTCTGGTGATCTACTTTTGAAGAACCTGCCACTGAAAACTCTGCGGAGCACAGTTCTGCTCGTACACACGTGGGGTCGTCATGAGTTGGAGTTGACTTGATAGTAACTGGTTTTAGAGTAGAGAGGAGAGTGTGATCAATTCTGCTGGGGGAGAATGAGAAGGCGTCACAGATGCCTGGGGGTTTTGAGGGAAGGACCAAAGTTTGTCAGGTGGATAAGGATGGAAAGGGCAACACAGCCAGAGGGTATGGCAGATGTAAAGGTACAGAGAGCTGAGACAATGTAGGGTCTGGGAGCATAAAGATACAAGCAGGAGGAGGAGAAGGGGCAGAAAATGGGTCAGTGGAGCTACTTGGGGGCTAGATCATAGAAGTCCTCTCTTGCCAGATTGTTTCCTTTAGAACAGTGCTTGGCACATAGTAAGTGCTCAACATGTGAGAGATCTTCATGATGACCCACTGCTGTTGAGTCGATTCTGACTCATAGTGACCCTACAGGACACAATACAACTTCCCCATAGGTCTCCAAGGCTATAAATCTTTACGGAAGCAAACTGTCATATCTTTCTCCTGAAGAGCAGCTGGTAGGTTTGAATCATCGACCTTTCAGTTAGCAGCCAAGTGCTTTAACCACTGAACCACTAGGGCTCCTTTCTTTATGAAGAGAGTGTAGGGTTAGACAGAGAGGGATGGAATTGAAATCAGCAAGACTCTAGTGGAACCAATTAGAGAAAACAGAGGTAAGCAGGTACAGAAACTTGATATATTTCAGAGATGGCATGAAAATTAGTGGGGACAAGTTGGGGTATTTAGTAAATGGTGCTGGTATTTAGTAAATGTGTTTTCCATATGGAAAAAATAAAATTAGATTCCCACCTCACACCACAACAAAACCCTTCTTTTGCGTGAAAATATAGAAGCCTGTCTATATATTGCCTCTGCGAAAAAGAAGCACACACACACACACATACACAAAATGCACACTAAAAAGAAAATACTGATTAATTTGACTGGCAACAACCAAACCAAACTAAAAGCTCGTTTATTCAATAACAACTGATTGGGCTTACTATGTACAGAACAATATACTTTTTATATATTAACTTATTTAACTCTATAAACTTAAGAGGCAGGTACCATTATCATCTTTATTTTATAGATGAAGAAACAAGCACAGAGACCTCAGGTGACCCGCTTCAGGTCACACAGCTGGTAAATGGTTGAGCTGAAATCCAAAATCGGGCAATTTGGCCACAGAGTCTGCTCTCATAACTACTACATTATTCTGCCTCTCAACAAAACTTAACATAAACAACATAAAAAGGCAAGCCACAGTTTGGATGGCCAAACAGAGAACTGGTAAAGGAAAAGTATCCGAAATATATAAATAACTATAGTCAGTAAACTGAATAAGAAAAACCAGTCGAACAGTAAGAACAGTAAACACACGGATATGTGGTCAACTTTATTAGTTGGAAAATGCAAATTAACGTACAATGATAATCAATAGTTGACGGATTTTCAATCAACTGATGGGAATGTAAATTGGAACAATTTTGGAGAGTAACTGGATAGCATCTGGTTAAGCTGAAGATGATCATTCCTCATCATCCAGAAATTTCACTCCTAGGCACAGTTCTTCTAACACAAATATATAAAATGACCACATCTGTAAGGCAGTCTGGTCCCAGAGTCCATGCTCTAACCATTATACTTCACAGTATGTTTATACAACAGCATACTCTACAGAAGTTAAAATGAATAATCTAGACTATAGTATCAAATTGAAAAAGAAAGAGCAAGTATGATATCATAATACAGTATGATATTACTTAAATAAGTTTAAAAATATGCAGAACAATCCTACATGCTGTTTATGGATACATAAACACATTAAAAAAAACCTTTGCTGCCAAGTGGATTCTGACTCATAGTGACCGTATAGGACAGAGTAGAACTGCCCCATACAGTTTCCAAGGCTATAAATCTTTATGGAAGCAGACTGCCACATCTTTCTCCCACGAAGCAGCTGGCGGGTTCAAACTGCCAACCTTTAGGCTAGCAGCTGGGTGTTTTAACCACAAGGGCTCCTTGCATAAACATATAGTACAGTGAAAACTGTGAGAGCCGGAACTCAATGAGACTGCCTTGTTTTTCCAGGTCTCCCAAGTTTTCCACTTTTGACGTGGTACAGTCTTACCATTTTTCTATCACTCTCTATTAGTGGAAAATATTTGAGTTTTCCTTCTCTGACAGGTTTCTGCCTTACACAGTTTCCCGCTTTCACAGGTTTTACTGTGTAAAAGGACAAAACATGGGTAATAATGATAAACATCAAAATCAGAATGGGTGTCTCATTTGGGGAGAGAGGGAGGGAAACAGATCCATGAAGGGTTCCTGAAAGCTTCAACTCTACCTGAATGTTTTCTTTTCTTTCATTCATTCAACAAATATTAGAGCTTGCTATGTTCCAGGAACTGTTTCAGGCACTGAGGATACCACTGCGAACAAAACAGACAAAAATCCCTGTTCTCCAATGAAGCAAAGAAGCTGAACAAACAAGAAACAAAATAAAGACGTGACTGACACAGTATATTAAAAACTTTTTTAAAGATAGGAAGAAATTATGGTAAAATGTTAAGACTTCACAAAATGGAGTGGTGGGGTACCTAAGTGTTTGTTATACTAGTCTCTATATATTCTTCAGTATGCTTGAAATATTTCATAATTTTAACAGGTCATCAGGGCTTGGTAATTGGGTGGAGGTGGGGATGGAGGGACAAGGAGGGGCCAGGGCAGACCTCGAAATTTCCAGCTTGGGTGACTGGGTAGAAATAGGTGCCATGAACTGATGTGGAAAATATTAGAAAAGGAGAAGGTAAAATAAGTGAGTTCCACCCTGAATGTTAAGTTTTAGATACTTGGGGGACTTCCAGGTAGAATGCTCAGGAGGCAGTTGAAAACGGGAATCTGATGTTCAGAAGCAAGAGAGTTGGGCAGAAGCCAAGCCAATTGCCATCAAGTCAATCCCAACTCATGGTGACTGCACATGTTACAGAGTAGAACTGCTCCATAGGGGTTTCTTGGCTGTAATCTTTTTTTTTTTTTAACAAACAGAAATTTATTTTCTTGTGGTTTAGGAGGCTAGAAGTTTGAATTCAGGGTATTGGCTCTAGGGGAAGGCTTTCACTGCTGGCTCTGGAGGAAAGTCCTTGTCTCTTTGAGCTTCTGCTCCCGGGCAGTCTTCATGGGGCTTGGCAACGCTCTTCCCCCATGTCTGCTCTGCTTGCTTTCTTAATCTCTTTTATATCTCAAAAGAGATTGACTCAAGATACACCCTACACTAATCCTGCCTCATTAACGTAACAAAGACAATCCATTCCTAAATGGGATTATAACCACAGGCATAGAGGTTAAGATTTACAACACTTATTTCTGGGGGACACAATTCAACCTGTAACATTCTACCCTTTGCCCCCCCACCCCCCCAAATTCATGTCCTTGCCACATGCAAAACATATTCTCCCTCTCACAACATCCCAAAAGTCTTAACTGTTGGCTGTAATCTTTATGGAAGTAGATTGCCAGGCCTTTCTGTGGCGCTGCTGGGTGGGTTTGAACCCCCAAACTTTAGGCTAATAGTCGAGTGCAAACCATTTGTGCTTTGGGCAGGGATTTTGGGCAGAAGCTAGAGAACTGGAAATCTTTAGTATGTGAGTGGTATCATTGTGCATGAGAAACCTGGGGATTATATCTTTCAAGGAATTTGTCTGTTTCATTTAGATTGTCAAATGTATTGACATAAAGTTGGTGTTACCTGTTGGATCTGTAGTGATGTTCCCTCTTTCATTTTTGATTTGGTAATTTGTCACATAGGAATTGTGTGTGTAATCACACAACGAGGAAAGAGGAGGAGGAAAGGTGTTTGTGGGACAGAGGTGGAAGAGGAGCCCTTGAGAAAGGAGATAGGGAAGGATCAGTTAATGCAATATTTGACTAATACCCAGAGGTGCCTCAGAAGAAAGGCCTGGAGATGCTTCCTAAAGGTCATAGCCTTGAAAACCCTATGGAGCACTTGATATAGTTCAGAGTTCTACTCTGCAAAACATGGGGTCACCATGAGCAACTGGTTTGTTTCTTTTGGTTTTGGAGGCTTGTTCCAAGTGCCATGGGAGGGGACATGGGTGAGGACAGTTGGGGAAGGCTTTACAGATGAGGTGGCATTTCAGCTGGTCTTAAGAGATTTTACTGGGTACATAGAAGAGGAGAGGACACGCTAAACAGAGGGCACAGGCTGTTCAAAGGCACGGAGGTGTGGGTGTACGTGCATGGCAGAGCTGCTGAAAGGAGTTTACAGGTGTAATGTTTACCCAAGGCTGTGGACTCTTATGATTTCTGGGCAAACCTGAGGCGTGGGACATACGAGGGTACAAGGTAAGGGTCCTTCTCTTGCTTCCCTCTGCTGACCCCTGTGGGGGGCCATGCCCTATGTCCATCCCCTGCTCCAGGTTGGCTGGCAGCCCAGGCTGCTGAAAGTGCAAAAGAAGTGGCTCTTCCCAGCCTCCTGCAGCTTCTTCTTCCTGTTCTCAGTGGTCATGACTGGCTGTTTCCTGTGGCAGTATCACCTCCCCAAGCTGAAGGCCGGTGAGTTTCTCCGCACCCCCGTAGGTCTTCCTGGGATTTGAACTGACACCCCGATCCCAAGGAGTAGGGGAGGACCATAGCTGAAGCTCTGGCCTGTGTCCTGGCTCCAACTCTCACTGACTGTGCATCACAGTCTCAATGCCCTTGTGTATGAAATGAGAATTCTAACGTCACTGGAGCTTCCTCAAGCTGCCCAGCCTGGGAATAAAACTCAGGGTCACAATTAAAGTGCAAACGGTGTTTCTCTCACTCTGCCTTCAGCCTCCATAGTAGGATCTTCCAGCCAAACCTCCCTTCAAAGATTCCCCGCCCCACACACTGTATACGGAGCCCCTAGAGGAACATCTCACAGAGGTCCACCGACAGTAGTGCCATTTCCCAGAGCCTCTCCTTTCTGGAAGGAGCCCTGGTGGTGCAACAGTTAAGTGCTCAGCTGCTAACCGAAAGATTGGCGGTCTGAACCCACCCAGCAGTTCTGCAGGAGAAAGGCCTGGTGATCTGCTCCTGTGAAGATTACAGCCAAGAAAACCCATCTCTGAACCATTCCCTGGACATAACAACAACAGCTCCTTCCTGTGCTGCTCAAATCCCCGCAAGGAGCCACATGGCTGTGGATGTCCACTAGGCCCTCTGTTGCTATAGCAACCCTTGGGGCCACCAGTGGGCTGTGATCCTGGATAGTCCAGAGTCCCCAGGTCTCTGGTGAAGCAGGGACGGTGCCTCTCTCCTTTCCCCTGCATCATCCTGTGCTCCAGATGCTCCAGCGCTCAGCGAAGTATGCTGGGCTCCCAAAAGCACACAGAGAATTTGCAGAAATGGCTCCTTTTATTTTCTTGCCAGCTCCCTGCCTTCCCTCCCCAACCTTTTCCTTCTAGGGTAAATTCCTTCTTAGTGCCTTAAGCAAATAGATTCCAGGTGGACAGGCTGGTCTGTCCTCTAGGGCTATGCTTCTCAAACTATCAAACTACAAACCCGTAGCAGACTATTATTATTAGAAAGATATAAAAATGAATTATTAGAGAAATTAAGTGGTAAAAATGTATATACAATATAAGCCTACATTTTTAAAATTTATTTTTTGTTGTTGCTGTTGAGAATATACACAGCAGAATGTACACCAATTCAACAATTTCTACAAGTACAATTCAGTGACACTGATTACATTCTTCGAAGTTGTACAACCATTCTCACTCTTCTTTTTTGGGTTGTTCCTCCCCATTAACATAAATTCAATGCCTCTAATATTCCTATCTAATCTTTTGAGTTGCTGTTGTCAATTTGACCCCATATATATAGTTCTTAAATGAGCACAACGGTCAAGGCAGACATTCTTTACTATTAAGCTAAATTACTGTTTGGTTTAAAGACAACTTAAGGGGATATTTTTGGCTTAAGTTTAAAAGACTATCTCAGGGCAATAGTTTTGGTGGATTCCATTAGAATTTAAAATCTGTTCTGCATTTTTTCCCCTTTTGATCAGGATTCTTCTAAGGAATCTTTGATCAAAATGTTCAGTAATGGTAGCTGGGCACAATACAGTTTTTCTGGTCTCATAAGCCCACATTTTTAATTATTAGATTCAACCAACATAAAATTACTGTCAAACTGCTATGAAAGTTTCTAAATGCTTTCTCTTCAATTTTGTACTTAATTTGTCACAAATGGGAAACAAATAGTTCATGGGCCAGCAGTGGGTCCATGGACCACATGGATCTAGGTCCTCACTCTTGCTTGAGCATCACCTGAGAGGTTGTTAGAAATGAGGACTCTCAGGTCCCAGCCCATACCTACTGAGTCAAATCTGCATCATATGATTCTCAGGTAAAAGTAAAGTAAGCCAGACACAAAAGAATAAATATTGTTTGATACCACTTATACAAATAAATATTGTTTGATACCACTTATATCTAGAATAGGCAAATGCATAGAGAGTTTCTGTTTGGGGTGATGAAAAAGTTTTGGAAATAAATAGTGGTGTTGGTTGCAAAAAAACAAAACAAAACAAAACAAAACATTCCCAGGTGATTTTTCATGTGTGCTCACATGATAGAGAAGCATGGCTGTAGACATCCTTCTCCACCTGGACCCTAAGCCGAGCAATTCTTAAACCTATGTCATGGAACTGTCGAGAGATCTTCCATAAGGTTTGTAGTTTTCCTGTTTGGGACTATATCAGTTATCTATTGGGAGAAAGACCTGGTGATCTGCTCTCGTAAAGATTGTTGTTGTTGTTGGGTGCCATCCAGTCAATTTCGACTCATAGTGACCCCACGTGACAGAATAGAACTGCTCCATAGCCACCAAGTGTGTGGTGTAGCCTCCCACTTATAGTCCTAGACAGGCATGGGTGATTGGTATAGGCACAGGCATCTGGCTGCAGCAGGGGGACACACTCTGAGCAAGGCAGGGGGCTGATGGCTGCCCCCGAGTGTCCAGGAGGAAGGCGTGTCCCTGTTCCCTAGAATGCGTAGGTGAGTGGGTTTTGCAGCCAGACTATGAGCACCTAATACTGTTGGCTGTAAGGACTGCGGGGCACCTCTTATTCATGGGCCCCTATCACAGGTGGCTAGGTGGTGTGGGTGGAGCCACTAGTCCTCAGGCCCCTGATGTGGGTAGGTGAAGACCCTGCTTAATGGGCAGAGTAGTGTCAGATGTCAAGAACCTGCCACTTCTCAGCTGAAACAGTTGAAGTTAGAGTTCCGGTATATACCCTGTTGTACTGTGGTAATGAGGGCCTATGCTGTTGAGATGGGCCCACACAAGTCTATGCAGGGGGAAAGGCACTCAAAGTCCGTGGATCCCTTTTGCCTGTGCCTAGGCAAAGGAGCTGTGCCTACCGTGGGTTCCTGGCTTAGGGGAGCTGGCAGTTTATTTTTTCCTGTTTGTTAATTTGTTCACTCTCCAAGGCGGGGAGAATGGCTCTGGGCATGACAGATCCTACTTCCAGCCCAGGGGACTCGGCAATTGCTGAAGCGAGTCCGGGACCCAGGGCAGAGCAGGGAGTGGGGAGGTAAGTGGGAGAGAGGTTTTTCCCTAAGGGGGGTGTTTTTGATCTGCGCGGTAAGTCGTATGCAATTATTTATCTTTCGCTGATGAGGGCTGTTTCTCACTAGTTCTGGGTGGCTGTGTAGACTCTCTGATGCTGGGTCTCTCCCAGTGCAGAAAACACGCCTCCCGAGCACTGCTGCTTGCCTGCCTCACCACTCACCCCCAAGCTGCTCAGGCCCGAAGGGCTCAGGCTCTCGCCGGGTCAGGTGGCAACTCCTCGCTGCTTCCGAACCATCTCTCCCTCCCCCTGCCACTCAGTCCAGTTCCTCAACTCTGCCTTTGATGTTTAGGGCTCCCAGATTGCCATATATAATCGAATCACTTGTTTTTTTGGGTCTTTGTTGTAAGAGGGTCCACCGGCGGCATCTGACTACTCCGCCATCTTGCCCCCCCGCCCCAACCAGGCTGTATTCCTTACGAGAGCAGATCATCAGGTCTTTTTCCCACTGTAAAGATTACTGCCTAGAAAACCCTGTGGGGCAGCTCTCCTCTTCACACAGGGTCGCTGTGAGTCAAAAGTTGATTTGATGGCATCTAACAACAACATTAGTGAGTAAAAAAACATCCCACACTTACTGGCTTAAACAAGGTGATGTATTATTTCTCATGATTCTGTGGGTTGGCTGGCAGTTCTGCTGCTCGTCTTGCTGGGCTCTCTCCTGTGGCTACATTTAGTGGGCAAGTGGGCTGGGAGAGCAGGGCCTCTTTCATGGCAGGTATCCCAGGCTTGTCCACAGGTGGCAGTGTTTCCAGGGAGCAAAAGCAGAAGCTGCAAGGTCTCTTAAGGCCTAGCTTTGGAAGTTGTGCAATCAATTTGGCCTCATCTGATTTGCTGAAGCAAGTCACAGGACAGCCAGATTCAAGGGAGCGGGGAAAGAATCCCTGGCCATATTGAATCTACCACAGTGACCACAGGTGGGCAGACTCTCAGACAACGAGTTTCCACTGGTAACTACTAATCTACTTTGTCTCTATGTATTTGCCTATTCTAGATATTTCATGTATGTGGGATCATACAATATTTGCCCTTTTGTGTCTGGATGTAGATCCTGAGGTGGTGCTCATGCCCTAACACCCCTACACCGTCCTTAGAGGACAAGGTGAGGTCTGGGTCACTGTCTTAGTTATTTAGTGCTGCTATAACAGAAATACCACAAGTGGATGGCTTTAACAAACAGATTTATTTTCTCACATTTTAGGAGGCTAGAAGTCTGAATTCAGGGTGTGTGGCTCTAGGGGAAGGCTTTCTCTCTCTGCCAGCTCTGGAGGAAGGCCCTTGTCTCTTCGGCTTGTTTCCTTGTCCTTTGGAGATCTCCATATGGTTTGGCATCTCTCTTCCCCCATCTTTGCTTGCTCACTTGCGTGTTTAATCTCTTTTATATCTCAAAAGAGATTGGTTCAAGACACACCCGACATTAATCCTGCCTCATTAACATAACAAAGACAACCCATTCCCAAATGGGATTATAACAATGGGCGTAGAGGTTAGGATTTACAACACATATTTTTGGGGGACATAATTCAATCCATAACAGTCACATTCTGAGGTTCCGTGTGGACATGGACGGGGGTGGGGCACTACGCAGAAACATAGAATCAGGATGAGGGCGACATACAGACACAAGGAAGCCAGGCCTTGTCAAGTCTGCTGACCACATGGAGGTGGAAAGCTGGTTATATGAAAGAAAGGAGTACAGTGACTCTACACACCAGGAATTGTGGCCTAATTGGTATCTTGAAATCTAAGCGGTGGGTGGCAAAGGTGGGATTGTCCCTTCACGTCCCGGGTATACTCTGCCGTCTGTCCCTCAGTTGCCCACAGCTGGTCTCTGTACCCTGATGTCTCCTGGGTAAGGCTGTTGCAGGCTGAGGAAGGCTGGCCCCAGGAGGCGGCTCTGGCCTTTGCTGCTACCTTCCCCCTCTCCCCCATCCTGACCCCTGGACTTGTATCCTGATCTCTGTCCCCCACTTACCACATGTTCCTTCTAGGTTCTTTGGGGCCAGATGTGACCTCTGCCCCAGTGAGGATGTGTCCCCGGCACCCTGAGCCTGTGCCCCTGGTCCACCCCCTCCCAGTATTGAAGGAGGCCCTCGAGAAGGTCAGTGACGACCCAGGAGGTAACTGAGTATGTGGGCTGGGGCTCGGTAATGAAGAGGAGGGCACCTCCTCTGCACTGCAAGTGGCTTTCATTCATTCACTCACTCATTCAACATGCATATTTCTTGAGCACCTACTCTGTGCTAGGCACTGGGAATATGGCAGGAAGAGAATACTGTCCTGCCCTCAAGAAGCTACTAGTCTGAAAGTGAGGGGAACAGTCAAGATGACCAATATTTATAGCACAAGGATGAAAGTGAGGATAGGGAAAGTTTAGGGGCTGTGGGGGGACAGAGGAACTGGACTTGGGGTCAGAGAAAGCTTCTGGAGGAATTGGTGTCTAAGCTGAGATCTGAGCAAGTAGGAGTGATCCAGATGATGTGTGTGTGATGGGGGCTGGGGGAAGGGAGGATGTGCTCTAGGCAGAGGGAACAGCATGTGCAAAGGCCCAGAGGCAGCAGTGGAACTTTGAGGTAGTTCAGTCCGGCTGGCCCAGAGGTGGGGGTGGGGAAAGATGATACAGGAGAGGATGATAGAGCTGATATCACAGAGTCCCTTGCAATATGATTAAGCACATACACACACACACTCACACACAACTTACGCCATCACAAGATGGCATGACACTAGACGGAGGTGTCTGCCAGCTCTAGTCTGCACCAGTCAGACACCATTGACTTTGGTAACTCACCTTAGAGGAGATACATAAAAATGACAATGGGATCAAAAGGTTATGAGCAGCAGCTTGATGTGGGGGACTTGAAACTGTCGTGAGGAACAGCTAAACAGAAAGGGAAGGATGAGTCTACAGTCCTCATTGTCTGGGGCCAATGAGGAGACATGGCCACTGTCTGCAGACACCTGAAAAATTTTCATAAAGGAGGGAGAGCAAAAGGATGCTAGGTGGCTCCCGGGGTCTATAGCTGCCTTCTGTTGAGCACCTACTAGGAGCCAGTGGCTGTGCAAAGTTCTTTATATGCATTACCTCGTGAATCTTCCCAACAGCAACATGAGGGAGGTACTATTGAGGAGGAAACTGAGGCTTGGAGAGGTGGAGTGGAAACTACAGGCAAGAGCTCAGCTCAGGTTCTGTAAAACCACTCAGCGAAGTGGTCTGGTGGTTAATTACGAGCCGAGGTCTAAAGTCAGCCCAGGATTCTAATCCTGACTCCATCAGCAACTAGCCACTTGGACAAGTCACTTCATATATCATAGACTCAATTTTCTCATCTGTAAAATGGAGAGAAATTAGTTCCAACTTATTACAAGTGTTAAATGAGACCACATACGGAAATCACTTTATACCATGCCTGGCACAGTTTAGGAGTTCCTGGGTGGTGGTGTATACGGTTAAGCACTCATCTACTAACTGAAAGCTTGGCAGTTCAAACCTACCCAGAGGCATCTGGGAAGACAGCCTTGGTGATTTGCTTCCAGAAGGTCACAGCCATGAAAACCCCGTGGAGCAGCTCTACTCTGCAACACACGAGGTTGCCATGAGTTGGAATCGACTCAAGGGCAACTGGTCTGGTTTTTGGTTTTGGCACATTCTGAATGTGCAATAAATGTTAGCTATTAGTGCTGCTGTTGTTGTGTGTCACTGAGTCGATTCCAACTCATAGGGGCCCTGTAGGCTAGAGCAGAACTGCCCTGTTGGGTTTCCTAGGCTGAATCTTTACGAGAGCAGATTGCCAGGTCTTTTCTCCCGCGTAGTGGCTGGTAGGTTTGAACTGCCGACCTTCAGTTAGCAGCCAAGCTCTTAATCATTATGCCACTAGAGGTCCTTAGTTGTTATTGTCATTATATTTCATCATGAAAAATAATGAGGTATTTTCAACAGAAGTCCAAAGAAGGCCTATAAACAGTGAATTCCCCAACACTAGAGGTCAGACTAGACCTATTGGAGGTTTTCTAGGGAATCAGACAAGGGTTGGACTGGATCAGTTGTTTTAACAACCTCCTCCCTCCCCTCTGCCACCTTTTTTTTTGGCCAAGGAAACGTGTTTTCAGACAAAAATCTTATGAGGAAGATTTATGTATAAAACAGATTCAAGGGGAGTTGCTCTGGTTGAAGACAGGGTGGAGGGCTGAGGGCTCACTGGGCTCCCCTCCAATAGCTGGGGGGAGAGATGGAGGGGAGCAAGGCCAGTGCTGTCTGTAGGGTGTGGTTGTGGGAGTGAGCGGGTATGCAGAATGACAAGCGTGGCGAGCATAGATGGGGGGGCCTGTCACTGCACCCACACGCTGAACCTCCCACTTCTCTCTCTCAAGGTGGACAAGATGCTGCGCCAGGCAATGTCTGCCCCAGGCCTGGCCGCCATGTCTGCAGTTGTCATTCACAATGACACCATGATCTGGACGGGGAACTATGGGAGGAAGAACGGCTCAGACCCAACTTCGAGACCCCCCAATGAGTACACCATGTACCGGTCAGCTGGAAAACCTCTAGGGTGCTGTGGAGGGGACGAGGGATGGAAAGAGGGGGACCTAGGAGATAGGGAGACTCAAGAGAGAATCACAGCTGGGGGTTCAAGCCGCCAGGCCCCTTTATTGAGTCCTGACAAACTTATAGATGAAGAGACTGAGGTCCAGAGAGGACCAGTCAGTGTCCAACATCATACCACAGGGGTAATAGGCTAGGAAGGAATACAGCCCTTCACCCCAAACCTCCCAAATTAGCCAGGCCACATCGCACACCCCTCACCCACCATGCACCACAAAGGAACCATGAAGAGTTCCTGGGTCTTTACCCCAAGTCCCCTACCAGTCAGCAGCACTGGGACAACCAGAAGCAGCTCAAGACATTCTGCCTGTGCTTGGGGTCTCCTCTCCTGGGTGCTGCCCTCAGTATCTTCAAAACTCACAACGCTGAGTGAACACATTCACTCCCAGGGATGCTACGGGGATGATTACAGGGGACTCAGAGGGAACTAGCATTCATGTTGTACCTACTCTGTGCTAGGCATGGGGCCAACAATTGTATTTGCTGTCACTTATTGAGCACTTACTGCCAGATGTGTTGCAGGCACTTTACACGAACAATCTTATTCAACCGTTTCTGCAACCTGTGAAGCAGGTATAATTATCCCTATTTTACAGATAACAAAATGGAATCTCAGAAAGGCCTAGTAACTTGCCCAAGGTCACACAGCTGGTGAGAGACACAGGTGCAATCCATACCAAGGTCTGTCCTAGAATGAGGAGTATCTGGTGAAGGGCCTGGCATGGGGTAGGTGTTCAAAAGTGTCCATCCCACGCCCCACCCCCACTGCCTCTGGTATGTTCTCGAGAATCCCAAAGGCAGTTCTACAGAGGCTGGTGAATTCCCACCTGAGACGCTGAATAAGGGTGGATTCAGTGCTTTCCTGGAATACTAGAGGCTGGGGGCACAGGGTGGGCGGTGGGTGCCCTCTGTACCCTCATGCTCTCATACTGTACAGGATCTCCAGCATCTCTAAGATCTTTCCAGTTCTCATGCTGTACCGCCTGTGGGAAGAAGGCATCGTAGCCTCTTTAGATGACCCTCTGGAGCGGTATGCCAGCACTTTCACCATTAACAACCCACTGGGCATGGCATCAGCCTCCAAACAGCAGACTCTGATGGATAAGCTGGAAGAGGTTGGCCCAGCCCCAAGGCCTTCACTTGTCACACTCCGAAGGATGGCCAGTCAGCTCTCAGGTAAAGAGTCTCTGAAATTATCCAGCCCCGCCTGAACCATTTCAGGTGGGGGAACTGAGGAGCAGGTTCTCATCTAGCCACAGTAGGCCCACTCTCTGCCCTTTCTGAATTGGCCGTACGTCCCTCTCACAAGGCTTGGGGGGTGGACCAGGAGTAGAAAGATCTGGGAAGGTAAAAGCGGAGATGAATACTGGGAATTTAGATGAAGTAGGCAAATCAAGATCAGTTGGCAGGTCAAAATCAAGTTGGCAGGTCAAGATTTGCTTAAAAGATCAAGAGTAAGTCAACCAGTCAATATTAGCAGACAATTCTACAATGAAGACCTAATTTCCCTTAATATATAAAGAGCTCCTACAAATCAACATAAAGACCATCAACACAACAGAAAAATGGACAAAGGATATGAGTAGAATAGACAGTTCACATAAAATGAAATACAAATGGCTCTTAAGAATACTAAAAATTTTTTAAAAGATGCTCAACTTCACTCATAATAAAATAAATTCAAATTAAATCTATGCTGAGATACATTTTTTTCCCCTATTAGATTGACAAAGACCAAAATGATGGAAGCACTGAGCTGGTGAGGTTACCGTGAAATAGGCTTTCTTATACATCAGTGTGTGGAGCCCTGGTTGTGCAGTGGTTCAGAGCTCGGCCACTAACGAAAAGGCTGGCGTTTCAAATCCACCAGCCGCTCCTTGGAAACCCTATGGGGTAGTTCTACTCTGTCCTATAGGGTTGCTATGAGTCGGAATCGACTTGATGGCACACAACGATAACAATCACAATTAAAAAAAATATATATCCTTTGATTCAGCAGTTTTACTTCTAGAAAATTATTTTACAGATCTACTGCCACATGTGTGGTATGAGGGGCATACAAATTTACTCACTACAGCAATGTTTGTAATAGCAAAAGTTTGCAGACAACCTAAATACCCATCACTGAGGGAATGGCTAAATAAACTATGACACAGCTATATAATCAAATACTATGTAGCTCCAAAAGAGAGTAATAATGCTCTTTATGTACTGATGGAATTCGATGCGAAGCTAAGTGGAAACAAAGGTTTATAACAACCTATGAATAAACACAGCATATGAATAAATATATATATATACTGTATCATATGTATATGAATGTATATGTATAATGTATATGTAATGTGCATAGTGTATAATATATGTGTGTATTATATGTAAATATATGTATTAGTTTATATGTGCATAAAAAAATCTTCAGAAGGAAACTAAAGAGATTAAAACACTGGGTTGCTTCCAGGGAGGGAGACTGGATATTCTTTGGTGTCTTATGAATTTGAATCATGTAAATGGAAAACCTAATCAAATAAATTATATTAGAAGAAAATCACATAAATAAATACAATCTCCTCTCCAAAAAAAAAAAAATCCTACCCTACATGTTGCCTCAGTTTTAAGGGGGCCAGCTAAGCAAATCGCTGCCTGAATAACTCTTCTAGGTTCTTAATGTCTTCTATGATTGAACCTCACCCTGACCTAGAGCTTTCCTCCCATTCCTAGGGCTTTTCATCCATTCTCTTATTAAGTCTTGCAGCACCTCACACGGGACCCACCGAAGGTGCTCAAGCCCATTTAAAGATGAGCACGTAGAGTTCAGAGACGTCAATTAACGACATGGTCTGGGGTCACGCAGCAAGAGTGCTGGAGTCAGAACTTAAACCCAGGACTTAGGACTTCATGTCCCCAACTGCTCAGGCCAAAAGCCTTGGAGACATCTCTGGTGCAAAGTAGATGCTCAAAAACTGTTGATGAATGAATGAATAAAAGGAACCCTCGCCCTGTGATCCTCCCAATACCTGTCACATACAATAAACAGAAAATCCCAAGGGATCAGAGGAGCCAGTTCCACAAAACCTGCTTGGTCCAACCTCAAAAAGTTTATAGAATTAAACTTCTGTAGTTGATGACAACAATTATTTATCGAGCAGTTATTATATGCCAGGCACCATGCTAAGCATCTTATCTAATCCTCACATCAGTGGTTCAGTGGCAGAATTTTCATCTTCCACGTAAGAGACTCGGTTCGATTCCTGGCCACTGCACCTCATGCGCAGCCACCATTCATCTCTCAGTAGGGGCTTGTGTGTTTGCTGTGATGCTGAACAGGTTTCAGTGGAGCTTCTAGGCTAAGAAGGACTAGGAAAAAAAAGCCTGGCAATCTACTTTTGAAAATGAGCCAATGAAAACCCTATGGATCACAATGGTCCAATCCACAACCAATCATGGGGATGGAGCACGACCAGGCAATGTTTCGTTCCATTGTGCATGGGGTCTCCAGGAGTTGGGGCCTACTCAAAGCAGCTAACAACAATAATCCTTACATCAGCCCTATGTTGTAGGAATTATTTCTCCTAGACAGGGTTCGAACTGGTTTGAACTGGTTCAGTTATGGCTGATGAATCGAAACTGTAACAGACCTGAATTTTTAAAATTCAGGTTTTGTGGAACTGGCTCCTCTGATCCCTTGGGATTTTCTGTTTATTGGATGTGACAGGTATCGGGAGGATCACAGGGTGAGGGTTCCAGAACCATAACCAGAATGGGAAAAATCATGTGCTGAAGCCCTGGAATGGAAGACTCGAAGAGGTGTAGTGAGCCCTTTCAGGAGTCTGATGCATGAGACTGGATTACTGCCAGGACTGAGGGCAAGGACACATATTCAAAGTGGTGTGGCAGGCTCCGCCTGGCTCTGTTCAAAATCCTACAGGCAAGAGATCTGGTTGCTGTGCAACACTGCCCTTGTTTTCTAAGATGGAGATTAAGTTTCTAGCAGGGTTTTGACCCATAAGTTTTCCTGTTCTGGCTATGGTTCTGGTTCACCCAAATTTAAAAAATTCGAGTCTGTTCCAGTGTTGCTTCCTTGCCCATGACTGAACCGGAAGAACTGGCTCAAAACCCTGGTTACAGATGAGAAGACCAGGGCTCAGAGAGGTTAAGTGACTTGCCCAATGAAACACAGGAAGGAAGAGAAGAGGCAGGATTGGAGTCCATGCCTAGCAGTTTTTTTTTTTTTTTAAGTGGTTTAAAACCCCACTGGAAGGTGGGGGAGGGAGTGCACACAAAGACCCACCATTCCACCTTCAACAAAATCACTGCCATGTCCCACGCAGCGGGTCTGACTATTACTCCTTCCTAGGACTTCCCAGAAGGCTCCGCTCCACTTCTCTGTTGTGGAGGGGCAGCACCCAGGAGGCCCTGAGCCTGCTCAAGGATGATGTGCTGGTGGCGGACCCAGGAACCAGGTGAGGAGCACACCCTGATACCCTGCCACAAATTGGGAACCTTCCCAGGAGACATACCCTGGCTGGGAAAGAGGCTGCTTCAGCTCATCCTCAATGGTCAGAGCCAGGAGAGACCTTGGAGATCACTGAATACAACTCCCAATGCTACAGCTGGGAAGACTGAGGCCCAGAGAGGGTGGCACAGGGGAGAGCTGGACCTTCAATCCAGTTCTGTTTGAATTTTGTATTCTTCCCATTCGTTAACTCCACATTTACTGAACATCTACTAGGTGCCCAGAATGTGCTAAATTCTGAGATACAACAGTGAACAAATCCAATGAGGTCTCTCCACATGGAGTTGGCATTCTTGTGACAGAGGCACACAAAAAACAGTGAACAAATCAACAAGATAAATACGTATTTTGCCAAGTGCCATGATGAAAATAAACGGGCCACTGACTGATTTAGGGAGTAGCCGGGGTGACCACTGGGCGTTCAGAAAAGCCCAACTCTAGGAGCAACTCAGGCTGTGGGGCTGGGCAGAGGATCCCCTGGCTCCCCGAGCAGGGCCCCTTTTCCAACTTGCCCCTCTCTGCCTCTCCAAATGCTGAATTTCAGGTCCCACTTCTCTTAAAGGATCCAGGTAATGCAGAGAAAAGAGCATTGCTTGGGCATTTGCAGACTGGCGTTCTTCCAGCTCTGCCAGGAACTTGCTGTGTGACCTTGGGTGAGGCACTTAACCTCTGCACCCTCACATTCTCATCTGCAAAATAAGGGGATTGGGCTAGAGTTCAGGAATGCTTAATGGGATTTGTGAATTTTCATCCATCCATGTGTCTTCCTGAGGCACTATTTTAGAGATTCTGAAACTGCATTTTTTTCTGCAAAAGAAAAGAGGCCTCTTTATTATTGGTGTCTGCCACAGGCCTGGAAGAAGAAAGGGCTGGAATCCTGACTTACATTTGCTATCTCTGAGCTACATGATCATTATCATTTTCTTTCCAGAACAGTCTGACACTCTAGTTTTCAATTCAATAAAGTAAATCATACTAAAGTGTAAAGGAAGAGTAAGATTTATCTTACTTTTTCAGGTGCCATTTGTCGAAACCAGTTCTCCCTCAACCTGCTGTGTGACCCCGGATAATTCCCTGCCCTTCTAGGCCTTTGTTTTACCAAATGTAGAATTGTCCTTCGTTGTCATCAAGTACGTAGGCTGCAACCTATGGCAACCTTATGTATAACAGAATGAAACATTACCTGGTCCACTATCTTCCAGCACTATATTGGACAGTGTTCTGTTGTAATCCATAAGGTTTTCATTGGCTAATTTTTGGAAGCAGATTGCCAGGCCTTTCTTCCTAATCTTAGTCTGGAAACTTCACTAAAACCTGTCCGCCATGGGTGACCCTGCTAGTATCTGAATGCCAGTGGTATGGCTTCCAGTATTATAGCAACATACAAGCCACCACACTACACAAACTGACGACAGTGGTGGAAGTGTAGAATCAGGAGATGTATTCAAGGATCTCCCAAGCTTCTTCTGGGTCTGACCATCTAGGATGCTGTGAATCAGGCCTCTTCCCAGCCCCACTCAATCCAATAAAACTTTGGTGGCATTTCAGACAGCCTGAGCAGTGGGGAGGGATTATTTAGGGTCTGGAGATGGCCATTCCAGCCACATCCCAGTTTCCACCCTTCTCCTTCCAGGTGCCATTACAGCACACTGGCCTTCTCGCTCCTAGCCCACGTCCTGGCAGCCCACACTGCCCAGGGTGACTACCAGCGATGGGTCTCGGAGAACCTCCTGGAGCCCCTGGGGATGGCAGACACCGGCTTCGACCTCACGCCCTCTGTGCGCGTCCGCCTGGCAGCTGGCTTCTACGGCAGCGGGCGGCAGGCACCACTCTACGACCTGGGCTGGTACCGCCCGTCGGGCCAGATGTACTCCACCCTTGCCGACTTGGCCAAGCTGGCTATGGTGCTCCTGGGCAGCGGGCCCCAGCAGCTCCTCAGGCCAGATGCCGCCAAGACGCTGCTGGCGCCGGTGCTGGCCTGCCCCGGAGCCTACTTCGCCAACGAGACGGGCACGCCGTGGGAGTTCCACGCTCAGCGGGGCTACAGGGTGGTGCGCAAGGACGGTGACCTGGACGGCTACGCCGCCACCTTCTCCCTCGTGCCCCCGCTGCGCCTGGGCCTCGTGCTGCTGATGGCCGGGCCGCGGCCGCCCGGGCCCGATCTGGTGGCGCAGGCCTACGACGTGCTCCTGCCTGCGCTGGAGAGAGCCTTCCGGGAGGCCGACCTCAGCCCGGCCCCGCCGCCCAGTGCGCGCCCCTTCTCCGGCTACTTCACCTTTGCCAACCTAACCTTCTACGAGGTGAGGGCTGGGGCCGCGGGGGAGCTGCGCCTGCGCCAGTTCGGGCCCCGCGTCGAGGCGCTGGTGCCGCCCGCGTTCCGCACGCTGGCGCTGCGCCATCTGCGCGACCGCGTCTTCCAGCTGCACGTGGGCCGTGAGTTCCCGTGCGCGCTGCCGCTCGGGGACTCCTGGCTTTCGCTCGAGGCCCAGCACGGGCAGCTGGTCAATTTCTACTCACTAGATCCCTACGGGCTATCCCCTGGCTTTGACGTGCCGGGCCTCAACACCTACCGGGTGCTTCGGCTGCTGCGCAAGCCGGTATTCAAGACCCAGTGACTCAGACTCCTTACCGGATCTCTCCTTCCCTCGCCCCCCAGCTCTAGAATCAGAGAGTTGGAAGGAGAGGCAGCAGCAATACCTGTTAGAAAGCCCAGTAGCTGGCAAAGTGGAGTAGGGTGGTGCTACTCGAAGTGTGGACAGTTGGCCGCAGCCAGTTGGGGAAATTGTTTCTCATTCATGGGGAAAGAAAAATTACAGAAATTTAGAGTAAGCATTTAGAAACTTTAATAGCAAGCTGACAGAGTACTTTTGTGTCTGTTGAATCTAATAAAAATATGGACCTGCATTTTGTCTTTCTTTAATCAACATCATAGAACTAAAATTTATATAAAATGAAATGTACACATTTTCTGGGTACAGTGGGATGATTTTGACAAATGTTTACACCCACCACCACAATAAAAATATAGAACATTTCCATAACCCCCCAAACTTTCCTCCTACCCCTCTGCAATTATCTCCTCCCTGGTCAAACAAGTCCAGGCAATGCTGACCTGCTTTCTGTCATAATAGGTTAGTTTTGCCTGTTTTGGAATTTCATATGAATGGAATAATACAGCTAGTGTGAGTCTTGTGTCTGTTCTTTCACTGAGCATAACGTTTTTGAGGTTCACTCATGTCTTTGTGTGTATCAATATTTCATTCCTTTTTACTGCTGAGTAATATTCCATTGCATGTTGTTGAACATTTGAGTTATTTCCAGTTTGGGGCTCTTATTTAAAAAAAAGCTGGTAAAAGCATTCCTGTACAAGTCTTTTTGTGAATACATGCTTTCATTTCTCTTGGGCAAATACCTAGGAGTGACTGCCAAGCAGTTTTCCAAAGTATATGCATCGTTTGCATTCCCATCAGCAATATGTGAACTTTCCAGTTGTTCCACATCCTTGTTAACACTGGTGTTGTCAGTCTTTTTAATTTTAGCCATCCTAGTGGCTGTGAGTCAGAATTGACTGGCCAGCAACAGGTTTGGTTTCTTTTTTTTTTCTTTTTTGGTTTAGTGGCTGTGAAGTAGTATCTCATTGAGATTTTAATTTGCATTTCCCTTATGACTGATGATGCCCTAATTGGCTATTCCCAATTCCCGTATGAAGTGATTATTCAAGCGTTTTGCCCGTTCTTAATTGAGTTGTATGTCTTCTTATTATTGAAATGTAAGAATTATTTATATACTCTGGACACAAGTCATTTGTCAGATATGTATATTTAAATATTTTCTTCCCGTCTTTGGCTTGCCTTTTCTTTTAAAAATGGTATCTTTAGAATGGCAGAAGTTTTTCAATTTGGTGAATTTCATGTCTTAAATCTAATAAAAAATTTGAGCTTGCATTTTGTGTGTCTTTTTTTTTTAAATTAAACTTTTTTATTTTGAGATAATTGTAAATTCACATGCAGTTGTAAGAAATAATCCAGAGATCTCATGTACTTTACCCAGTTTCTCCCAATGGTTAACATCTTGCAAAACTATAGTACAATATCACAACCAAGATATTGACATTGATACAGTCAAGATACAGGACACAAATATCACTTCTATTGCCTTTTATAGCCACCCCTACTTCCCTCCCACTCCCACCCCCTCCTTAGCCCGTGGTGTCTTAGGCTGGGTTCTCTACAGAAGCAAAACCAGTGATGTGTGTGTGTGTGTGTGTGTGTGTGTGTGTGTGTGTGTGTGTGTGTGTGTGAGACTATGTCAAGGAAATGGCGCACATGGTTATAGAGGCTGGAAGGTCCCAAGTCTGTGGGTCAGGCTGGAGGCTTCTCCTGACTCACGTAGCTGCAGGGGCTGATGAACCCAAGATCAGCAGGTCAGACATCAGGCCTCTGGCTTACAGGTTTCGGTGGCTGATGAATCCCAAGATTGGTATGTAAGCTGCTAGCTCAAGTCCCAAGAACTGGAGGTCAGATGAAGATGAGACAAGCGCAAGATCCAGAGCAAGAACCTTGCTGGAACATCCGTTTATATACTGGAGGCAGGCCACACCCACAAGGAAACACCCTTTCAACTGATTGGCTGTTAACAGCAAATCTCATCATGGAGTTGATAACATTATTGCATAACTGCCAAACCACTGAGAATCATGGCCCAGCTGAGTTGACACACAATCTTAACCATCACACCTGGCAACCACTAATCTGTTATCTATTTCTGTAATTTTGCTATTGTAAGAATATTACATATATGGAATTAAACAGCATGTAATCTTTTGGTATTTTTTTCACCCAGCATAATTCTCTGGAGATTCATCTACATTGTTGTGTGTATCAATAGTTTGTTCTTTTTTGTTGTACAGCTCTTCCATGGGGTGGATGTACCAGATTGTTTAACCAGTCACCTGTTAAAGGACATTTGGGTTTCCAGTGTTTTGGCTATTGTGAATAAAGCTGCTATGAACATTCATGTATAGCTTGTTGTGTGAACATAAATTTTCATTTCTCCTGGGTAAATACCCAGGAGTGCAATTTCTGTGTTGAATGGTAGTTGCATATTTAGTTTTTAAAAGAAACTGACAAACTCCTTTCAAGGGTGACTGTACCATTATATATTCTCATCCACAATGTGTGAGTGGTTAGATTTCTTCACATCCTCATCAGCAATTTGTATTATTATAATTTTTTATTTCAGCCATTTTGATAGGTGTGCAGTGACACCACCTCGTGATTTTAATTTGCATTTCCCTAATGGCTAATAATGTTCAACATCTTTTTCACGCGCTTATTTTACGTATGTGTATCCTGTTTGGTGAAATGGTTATTCATGTCTTTTGCTCATTCTCTAATTGGATTGTTTTTTATTGTTGAGTTTTGAAAGTTCTTTATTCTAGATACTAGATTTCTTGTACTAGATTAATTTTTTTATAAAAGTCATTTAAAATATTTCTTTAATTTTCTAAAACTTATTATTTTTGAATTTTTTATTTTATTTTATTTTTTATCTTTATTTTTTTATTGTACTTCAGGTGAAGGCTTATAGAACAAATAGTTTCTCATGAAATAGTAGTACACATATTGTTTTATGACATTGGTTAACAACCCCACAACATGTCAACCCTCTAACTTCTCAACCT